AGTACACAGTAATTCCACAGTGAGTACATTTCTCGTCACTTTAAACTTAACAACTTTTATAACACACGCTATAAATCACAGCGATTCACTATCTTGATAACTTCACTCTCTACAAGTGCAAAACACACACTATACGGTTCACTAGCTCGAAACTAACTGAATCATACATTACACAGAACTCACCGTAACTACTGTTCGCTTAGCCCGCTGGCTTTTCTCTGCCAAACTTATATACTAACAAAGAGGCATCTCCAACATTCGCGGAGTTCCCCGATTATTAGAGAAATTCACCATGCATGCTCCCAGCATCGCATCACTTCCACTGTCGTAACACTACCCCTTCCTTAGCAGTGTTTGTCCCGAAGAATAGCCACTTACATTAAACCAATAGATAATTAGCAATAACTTAATTAAATGGACAGAATTTAGAAACACAAAATTAAAGTTCAACAAAGTCTCTTAATTTTACAGGACATTTCTTCTTTTGTACTGGTCTCTCTCTCATTGGCTTCTGCTTCACGTGGGGCTCATCTGTTCCACCGGGAAATGTCCCATTATTGGTAGCAGTCACATTAATGGTAGTAACTTCATTAACGGCTTCACTGTTTTCCGTCTCAAAACCAAGTAGAGTTTCTTCTCCAACAGTGGCTTTTTCAGGTGATACATCTTCAGCAGCGTCATTTGTTCTGTTGTTCATTTTGTTCCAACTGAAATATCCAGGACTGTGATAATGCCAAAGCCTGTTGGCATGCACATCCTTTGGCTTAGACATCCCAATCATCTTGGTGGCTATTACAAAACTTTGCCAATTTCTGTCCCAGTGTCCAATTGTACTTTTCTGCCATCCCATCAGACTGTAGGTAAATTGGCATTGTCTTGGTCTTTGCCAAACAACTTGCAGCATTGATGGAACACAGCTGATTCAAAGTTATGGCCTTGATCAGAATTCAGTTCGTATGGCATACCAAACCTGAAGAAGAAATCACTAATAGCCGAAGCTACAGTTATAGCTTCCTGATTTGGTATTGAATATGCTTCGAGCCACTTGGTGAAATAATCCATCATGACACAAATGTACTTGTTTCCAGCACGAGTCTGGGGCAAAGGACCAGCAATGTCAATGGCTACTCTTTCCATTGGTGCACCAACTTGATATAACTTCATTGGAGCACGTCCCTTATGCTTGGGTTCCCTTTTAGCACAACATGTACTGCAGGTTCTGCACCATTCTTCCACATCATGCCTCATACCTATCCAGTAAAATCTCTGCCATAGGTGACTCAATGTCTTCTTAACTCCAAGATGTCCTCCTGTTAAACTATCATGGGATTGACGCAGCACATCTTCCCGTAACTTTCTCGGTATAACTATTTGCCAGGTCGTCACTTTCCCATCTCCGGAGAAGAATACCATCTTCAAGCTTCAACTGGTCCCATTGTCACAGGGCTTAAGCTAGACACCTCCTCCCAAGCAAGGCACAAAACACTTCCCTTAGAAAATCAATTATTTGCTTCAAATCTTGGTCTTTCTCCTGGTCTGATTTAATATCTATACTTGGTTCCACTTCATCATCATAAACTCCTTCAGTCACTTTGACTTCAGCTTGATGGCACCTGGTTAGTTCAACCTCTCTTTTGCAGCAATGTCTGCAGTCATTTTTGTAGAGTCTTCAGCTCAGTCCGTCGGCATTTCCACAAGATTTTCCTTCTCTGTATTCAATATCATAATTATACTGGTCTAACTTTCTGATCCAACATGCCAGTTGTCCCTCTTGGTTCTTTAATGATCTTAACTAGTGTAATGCAGCATGGTCTGTTCTGATGGTAAACCTTGCACCATAGAGGTAAGGATGGAAATATGTCAGACTCTTTACTATAGCAAGGAGTTCACTTTGTGTTACACAGTAGTTCCTCTCTGGTCTACTCAGGACCCTACTGAAGTAGGCCACCATATGTTTGTTTTCGCCCACTTTCTGAGACAACACTTCTCCAATTCCAACATTACTAGCATCACAATCCAGTAGGTATGGCAATTAGGGATTTGGAAGCTTAAAAGTGGAGCTGAGGCCAATTTTTCTTTCAATTTCTTGAAAGCATGCTCCCAGTGTCACGTGACTTCCGTTGTCGTAACAGTACTTTAGGCTTAGGTATATTTATACTCACTAGTAAATTGTAAAACAGGATAAATAAATTGTTTTATTAAATAAATAGAATCTAAAAATTGGTTTATTGTTTCTTGGTGTTCTAGAATTAACATGTTTATTTGAACTTAGATCCATTAGTTTAAATTCAGCTTATACTTTATAGATATAGGTAGGTTATGAGATAAATCAGGCTAAAGTAAATATGTTTTATTATTAACGTTACATATCTTGTTCTAATGAATTAAGTTCTATATAATGAAAGATAAACTGTATTACTCTTGTGTGAAGACAAAGTAGTGATAAAATTATATAATTGGTTCTTAAATGTTAGGCTTAACAGTAACAGTGTTAACAATAAGCTACTGGTATTTGTTATTGAGTATTGATTACACTTTCAGGCTATAACACTAACAGTATAAATAAAATGGTTGAGACTAGTGTAACTCGTTTGCAATTTGTTAGATGTAATGGTGCAAGGATTGAGTTTTATTTGGGAACTCGGGACTGGAATGTTCTTTTGATGAAGCTAGTAATGAAGATGAACAATTTTTACATAGAGTTTGTAGGTAGGAAGAAAAGTTAGAGGTAATCATGATTAAAGTAGTTGCAATAGATAAGATAAAGTGTAGATTGTGGGAAATGGCAGCAGGATTTCAGGAGAAGCTTAAGCTTTTACATGCAAGCGATACATCAGCTAACAATGACTTTAAGGAAGTTAGAAAGAGTACTATTAGGGTTAAATGTGGTGAATTTAGTTATAATGAGCCTATTCTGCTGAGCAACAAATTTCAGCTCTTGGCTTCTGCAGATGGGGAACTATTGGAGGGAAGGAAAACAAAAGGGTCAGAGAAGGATGTGGATGATAAGGAGGTTATACTTATAGGTATGTGGATAGAATAGTCTGTGTGGTAAATAGGGAGAAAAGAATCAGATTATGCTACCCAGGGGCATAGGTGGAGGATATAACTGACAAAGCAAGAGATATAATGAAGAGGGCTGGCAGAGATGCAGTTTTTGTTGTGCATGTAGGGGCTAATGATGTAGGGAAAGGTAGGTCAGAGGAGCTAATTAATAAATACAAGGGATTGATAAAGGACATAACTTAATTTTGTCAGGGATACTGCCCAGAATTAACTGTGGGATGAAGTTATAAGTAGGTCATTAGGGCTAAATGCTAGGCTTATGTTACAATGTAAGGATGAGCAGATTGGCTAGTTGGACTTGTGGGATCAATTCAGTGGAGAGAAGGTAGCTTTTTGGAATGGATGGTTTACATTTAAATAGAGTAGAGGCTGGCTTGTTTGCTAAGGCTATTAACTCAGCTGTAAGGGATGTTTTAAACTAGAACTAAACATTGGTGAGGACAAGGATAAACTAAATGCAAAAAGAATAAGAGGTAGTGAAAAGTTTAGCATAGGAAACGAGTATAGAAGTAGTTATAAGGATAGGCTTAATTGTTACTATTGTAATGCTAGAAGTATAAAAAAAATATATGACTTTAGAGCACTGGTAGGAATGGAGGATTTTGATATAATGGTAGTAACTGAAACATGGTTAAACATAGATGATTCTGATGACAGAAATGTTTTTGAAATACAGGGTTACTGGCTGTTTAATAAGGATAGAGTATTAAAGAAGGGAGGAGGAGTGGCTTTATATGTAAAATGTAAGTTACATCCTGTTGAAATTGAGGATATCAAAGATAATAGCAAAGAGATTGAATCCATTTGGGTTTCTATTAGTGGATATAAAGGGAAAAGGCTTTTAGTGGGAATTTGTTACAGACCG